AAGTCTTGGTTTTATTTTAAGCTCTGTTTATAACTGTTGTGTCAGCGTATTTATGCTTTGCTGTCTCAGACAACATTGTGATTTTTATATTTTTTTAAAATGACAAGTGTTATATTGACTTGAATATCTGGATTGCATTCAATGCATATCTTCCATCATTGAAAAGATAGAAGCTATTCTCAAATTGAAAAGAACTGCTGCTGTATTGTCACATGTCTATGTTATAAAGATAAAATATTTGGGAGTGGGACATAGAAATATTTTCTGCACCCCAGGATGCAGAGTGGCAGTAGAAGGATTTGATCTTAGCAGATGAAGGCAGAACTTGGAGTTCTTTCCATATCTGCTGTTCCTGTGGTTTTGGAGAGTCCGTTTTGTAGGCCTGTGGATGCAACTACTTGGCACTAGGGGAGATAAGGGATATTCTACTATGAAAGGTTTCAGGTGAACAGAGAGGCTGAGGATTGCCCAGCCAGGATGTTGTTGTAGACTTGAGTCAGGCGCAGGGTGAGGCAATGCGGCTCATCATTGCAGTAAAATGACAAAAAAATGACAGGTAACACAGGTAGAAAGACACCAGCCAATCCAGCTAGAGTGTGAAGCAGAGTGGGCAGCTGGAAGGTTGCCAAAATATTTCATAGCTGAATCAATCACGCGACCGTTATAATGTCACGACTTACTGAGTGATAAATTTACTGATGAGTTTAACAGGTGTGAAAACACCAAAGTACTTTGTCCGTTCTTTGATGTTGTGGATTTATGTCACAGGCATGGAGATTTATTTGGTATCCGCTTATTTTATGATGAAGTGTCCCTAAGGCTGGTGTAGGTATTGGTCTGTGCCATTCCCAGCATCTGGCCTGTGGGGAGCTGCATAGATTAAGAAGATCCAGGATTCAAAGTCACTCTTTGTCAAAACAGACACAGACCTCCAGCTTTAACTTTAAAGCTAGTCTCATGCTTTTGTGGAGTCTGCCACAGTTTACTGAAAAGCTTAAAATAATAGAGGTATAATAAATATCCATGAGCATTGTCTGAGAGTCTGATTCCATCTGACAAAAAAACATGCTACAAGAACAGTAATTTCTGATGGCCTTCATTTCTGGTTTTAGGTGGCAAGTAATCAGTCAAAGTTACCACATTTGCATTTTTTTTTTAAAAATGGTTTTTCTTTCTAATGAATCAAATGGAAGAATTTCTGCCATATCCTGTTTGGAGGGGATGACAATTGCCTACATTGATAATACATTTGCTTTGTGTACCTGTGGGAGCCAAAGATTACTGTTCTCTCATTTACATGATCAGTTGGGACATTATCTTCTGAATAATCCAAGCTGCAGAGTAAGAAGTACTTCTGCGGCAGCTTAAATGAAGATATTGTCAGTTAGTCTCCAGAGTATCAACTTAGCCCTGAGAAAAGCTCCAAATTAAGACTCCTTTTGTAAGGAGATTTGTATGGTTGGGTCTCCTTATGTAATGATGATATGCTAATCTAATGTAATCTACTAAAGCCTACACAGTTCTTGTATTTAAGCTATAGGCCAGACAGGAGGGCATTTAATGAAATAAGAGCACTAGCATGGCCCCACGATTCAGATGAGAGTCTAAAAAATAAAAGATTTGATTACCTTAGGATTTTCAAAGGAGAAACCATTTATAACGTAAGTCGAAATAAGGCCATAAATTGGCAAATTTAGCTCTGTTCTCCCATAGAAATAAAACTGGTGTGCTATGGCAGGCTTAATGCTTTTAAGTGTGTACCCCGTTCTCTGCAGAGCTACGAGGGCTCTGTGTGTAGCAGCAGGAGGAGCTGTTGAATGTGAAGCCTGACCAAGTCACGGGACAACATGTTCATGATGCATAGATGTACAGGCTGTCTTCTTCACTGAGAGGAAATCACTGCTGCTGGTGGTAGCACCCATGGGATGCTTGCGTCAGTGGAGAGCTGGGATTCCTTCCTGCGGAGATCTTATGCTAGTTTTGCTGCCTGTTTTGTCAAGTTTTCAAGACTTTCATAACCAAGTAATTGCCTGGCTGGTAGTTTTATAATCAGGTATTAATATCCCAGCTTCATTGTGTGCTTGTTTTTACATATGATTTTAGGAACGTGTCCAGTGTTACATAAGAGCAGATTAGTGGTTTAGCACTGTTTCTGACAATGATCAATGCTTTGCAGACACTAAAAACTGCCCAGGATGAGCTTATTATCCTAAAGCATGAAGTCTCAGAGCACTGAGAACACTTAATCCAAACTACTAGCATTGCAGATATTTTTCTTATGTTCCTAGGATATATCTCTAAGCCTTTTTTTAAAATTATATTAAGCTCTTTGCCTTCATCATATTCCAAGCAGAAAACTAAACAAGTAAATTAGAGTGTACTTTCTAAGTTTCTTCTTTTGTCTGATGAATTTGACCAAACAAAAAGTCCCAGAGCTTTTTCATTCAGGGGCTTACAGATACATGATACAAATGACTGATGAAACTTTTCTGTAGTAAATGTGTTATGTACTCATTACTAAGTTGTAGTTTATAGTTTTGGGGTGTTTTTTTTGTTGGCTTTTGTTTGTTTGTGGGGATTTTTTGTTTTGGTTTGGTTTTGTTGTTTTTTTCCCTCAAAGAACAAGTTCAGTTTTCACATATCTTTCTTGGGGCATAACTAATCCCTTGTTTTTAATAATTGTTGCTCTTGTCCAGACTTTTTTGCTTTTTGTTACTTACGAAGTGTGCTGAACAAAACTAAATGCAAGATACACAAGGATTATGAAATAACATAATATTCTGTCTTCTCTGCAGCTTAACATGAGTCTCTTCTGAATGGTGCTAGAGGCAGAGCAAAAGGCAGGAGCCTGCACTTATTTTGAAATTGTTCCTCCAGGAGTTAACAACTATTTTAAAACACATTTGTGGCTGAGTTGTCTTCAACAGTTCTTTGCAGTATGTTTCTTCATACTTCACTTTTAAATTTCAGCTGTTGTTATGCTGCTCAGTTACTTTGGTACTAAGTCCTCTAGATACTCTCCTGTTCTCTTCTTGTGTCCTAAAAAATGCATTCATCATCTCTGTTTTAAGAACTAAAAGTCTGATTGTTTCTGAGATGTGTAAAAGTGGGATAGAAAGTGAGTATCCTCTCTTAATGGAAAGTAAGCTCTCTGAATCCTGTCACACCATTTTTCTTATATCCTCTTGGTAGCCACTGAGCCCTTTGTATTCTGAATACTTGCACAGAAAATAGTGCACTGCTGGGGCACTGTGTCCTGACTGGCCTTCTGAAGATCTCACACATGAATAAAGTAATCAGTGTTTTTCATTTCTGCCATGATTCTTTGCTAGTATCTCTTCCTGTAAAGGAAAGTCCAGTGGATAATGACTAGCTGGAAGGATGGTTCTATTTGAGCCGTATATTCAGTGTATGATCCTGGCAGTCTCCTGAACTCTGGCAATTTGCTTGAAGGGAGAGGGGAATATATCTGATCTCTTAATGGGTCAGCTCAGAAGACTGCAGTGAAAGAAACACTCAATGGCAAATACAGTGTCATTTTGCTCCCTCTTCAGCTCCTCTCTGGGAAACAACTGAATAATCGCTTATTTAATTAAGCAGTTAAAAAAACCCAGTGAACGCCCATGTGCTGTTTCTGCTTCTCTAATCCCCACTTGGCTGCAGCTCCTTAAGATATTCATTGAACTAATATTAGCTATGTTCCTGAATTCTGGGTAGCAGCAATATTAATCTGTCAGCACACAGAAAATAGCAATTTAAGTTTATTTGCATTCTGTTTGCAAGGCCAGTTGCTAATCCATGAGGTAGCTTTCCACTAAAGTTTCCTTTGCTGCTTTCTTATTTTCAAAAGGCTTTACAGAAATGATTTAAGATGTTTAAATATATTGCATTTGGGGACTTTTTTGTTTGGTTGATTTTTGTTCACGCTTTTCAGGAATCCTAAACAGCTCAGTAAGCACAACACAGCAGCAGAGCTGTTCTGTCCCTATCTCTTGCTCTTAACTATTTTTATAACCACCACCAAGTTAACGCCTGCTGTTAATCCTTAGCTACTATGTTGACCACTTGCAGCCATCTAGGGCTAACTCCTAATAACAGATTACATGTTTTCTGTAGCTTACCTGCTTCATTCTAAAGCTCCTTCAAAGCCCTGCAGGGATTGCTAAATCCCATTCTCCCTCTATCAGTCTTCACTGCAGTTTAAATACAGTGTCTATGGCCTTTCCAGTTCTCTTAAACATTCCTGTTTTAGATAATGAGTAAAAAAGGAAAGAGAAGAGTCTGAAATACAAGCAACAATAGGTGTGACATAGGAATGTAGGCTTGGAGAGGCCATGGTCAACCTTAGAGCATGGCTTTGGGAATGTGCTGTGCACAGACAAAGAGATTCCGCAGCTCATGAACATCATGTTTGTCCCTGTGTGTGCAGGGTAGTGCACATTATCGGCGTTTGACTCCCTGCAGAGTAGCACAGTGTCCTTTTGACCTGGAAGCTTGGTGCTTGTGAGCGCCTGCAAAGGGCCTTTTTGGGTCAGTAACTGTGATCCCCAGCTGTTGGTGGCAACTGTGTCATACCTCTTTTCATGAACTGCTCAGGTCCATTCTGAAGCAGCCTGTTTTCTGATCCTTTCCTTGGCTATTGAAGACCTATTCCTGAACCTCCCTGCTGTGAACGTTAAAAATCTTGTGATTCCCAGCCTAAGTTTATTCCCTGTCAGACTGTAACACTCATTTGTGAAGCCATTTGGCCTTTAATGAACCAGCTGTTTCTGTAAACAGTGTTTATCCCACTAATGTGTTTCTGAAGAAAAGTCATGTTTTCACAGCCTCTAGACCAAGACAACCTCTTCTAATTTTCTCAAATAGGCTGCACATGTCCTGGGCTACCTTAGCTGCTCTGCTCTTTACTGTTTGAATTTATTGTGGTTCTCTAGGAAAGGACAGTTTATATTGAGATACTTTTTTTTTGTGACTCTATTTTTAAAGGACCGAGGAAAGTGTCAGTTAAAGAAATAAAAGGCATTGAAACTGTAGAATTTGTGTCTCTTTACCTCAGTAATGTTATCTCTGAGGTCTTTTGTTTTTCCCCTTACGGAATCATGAAAATGTTTTTGTGCTGCTGTCTTAGAGAAGGAATGCTGCAGCTCCAGCAGTGCTGCCTGGTATCAAGGAACCTCACAACTAGGGATCCATTCAGGCAGTGCGCTCTTGGCCCATCCTCTCTGGTCTGCATGCAGGCTGACATGCTTCTTGGTGCCAAAGCTTGTGCAAGAAAATTCTACTTTCCTCACTCTTTACATCCAGTGGTAAGCCTGGCTTACGTAGACTAACTGGGTTTTCCCATATTGTATGTTGATCCAAATGTCTGGGCTTGAAGTCTTTGTAGGAAAGGGAACATGCAGATTTGGGAAGGGATTCAAGATCAGGCCTTTCTGAAAGCTGCCCCCCTGTACAATGTTTCTGTTTGCAATATGTCAGTCATTTTCTGAAGTTTGGTTATTGGCAGCTTATATCCAGATAATGAACTTGTTGGTAGCACGTCTGAGACAGAGCGGTCTGCTCTTGGCTCACATCCCATTTCTGGTCTGTGCTTTCTGTCACTTTACACTCCTCACTGGCCACTGTTTTTATTTTACTCAGCGTTGTGCCTGAGTAGCTGGCTACGACAGTAGGAATGCTGAATAAAGGTGGAGGCATCTGAACACTGGTGGAGTACTGTTCTTGCAGAGTTGATTCATGGGGCGTTGACCTTGAAGTAAACATGCAGTGCGCCCTTCAAGAGGTCTCACTTGTGAGAGACTAGGCAGAAATGTTCCTTTTTATATGGAGGAGGTAACAGGATTTACAGTGTCATCTAAGTCTCTTATTTTAGCAGGGACTGCTTATTTTAGCAGACCATTGCCTGAGACTAGTGAAATGGCTCAGTTAGGGGTCTATCAGGCAAAGGGAAGCAGCCAAGACATTCATTACTGCCCTGCCACGTAGGGAGCTTAGAGTCAGTCTTTATGCTTTGGAAAAGAAAATACACTCCTCCACCCCAATGCATAAGATATAAATGGGTATAGATGTCTTGTGCTCTCTTCTGCTTTCTTCTATAAGCATCTGTCTTCCCATTTACCGTCTTGTAAGCAGTGTGATAGTATAAATGGTGACTTGCATTAGTGTGTTTTTAACTTCTTTTAGGAGCTTTGCAAGTGGGACTGAGGATGCTCACTGGCATGTGGCTTTTTGCGTTCTCAACCACAGTTTGACCCACTGCTTGAATACTGTTACCCTGTATTAATCATATGTACTGTTGATGCTTCAGGTACTGGTGCAGAGTCAAAGCTGCATTGTATAGGAAGTGTTCAAACATAAGGTACATTTGAGTCCTATAGCCAGTTACTGTGCTGAACAATCTGAGTGTTTGATATTTAACGTGTGTATGCTTCAAGTGGAATAATGTTGTTCAGATAAATCAGCATGGCCCAGGGTAGGCCTCTGCCAATCACACTTTGGAAGCCAGAGGGCAATAAAACTGCTCAGTTTTGAATTAATGTAAGCTGCTGGTTTGAATTTTCCTTTCCAGAGACAAGCTGTTAAAAGTGTTCATCATCATGAAGCGAAACATTTGTTTCTTCATCACATGGGAGAAAAAGCTAGACAGCTTTTCCATTTCAGATACAGGGATTCAATTATAAGAAACTTGTAAATGCCATTTCAAAAGGGATTTCCTTGGAATTTTTTTTTTTAATCCAGTAGAAAAAAAGCAGGACAATTTGGGGACTTTTTATCCAGGGCCATTTTGGACTATAATTAAATGATAGCATCTTACTTAGTTGCCCTGCTTCTTGTACATCTGTGCAGTTTGAACCCGGAACTGCTGTAAAGCCAGCAGTGCTGTGGAAGGGTGAGCAGGAATCCGTTCCTTCTGTTCTACCTGCAGAATTGCTTAGTCAGAATAAATTAGACTCGTGTATGTACTCAGCATGACAATGTGCAGGTGTCACTGAATGGCTTAAGCCATTACAGCTAATGACGCATTAGCAAAAAGCAGCTCAACTTGATTTGCTATGCTTATATGCCATGTTATGCTTCATTTGCATGAGTAGCATTTAATACAAATAGTATCTTTTCACTTTTATACAGGCCACAGAGAATATAAAAATTGGTGAATACAATAAACATGGAGTTTTACAGTATACATTTTATACATTTTTATAGTTTTATACATTCTTTAGAGTAAATCTTTGCATTAAAATAGAATCTGATAATGTTACTGATGCATCCTTAAGGAAGAAAGGCAAATCGCTCATGCAAATGGAGGAGGATGAATCACAGAAACTCTGGCAAACTTAAAGTGGTATAGTTAGTAAGGAGGCAGTAGTCTGCAAAGGTAATAGGTCACTTATACACAGCGTGCAATAAAGACAGTAAGTTGATGAGTTCGGTGGGGTTGTCCCGACTAACAACAGCTGAACATCTAGCCAATATGTTTCAGTCTCTGCAGTGCTGCACTATTCACATGAGAGCTGCCAACTCGTTTTATGGAGACTGTTACTCATATTTCTCAAGGCAAAAGGTCGTTTGAATTGCTGTCATGTGTTGGTGGCAACTTTAAATGGTAAGATAAAAAATAAGCAGATAATCACAATAACTTTTCCCCCTGCAAACCTTGAACAAGGCATTAATCCATTATAGAAGTTCTGTCAACCAGCTGTGTCAGAACTTTTGCCTCTGTTTTAGAGTGAGCCTTGCCCTGCGCTTAAGTATTATGAAAGGGAAGGCTTAATTCTGCTAGCTGAATCTGGTAATACTCTTGCCAGTATTACTTGTAGTGGAAGCGTAGGATTCTTAGTGAATGCAGTACTTACTAGTTCCATGTCTTCACCTAGTTCTCCAGTTAATCTGCCAACTGCTTTCATGTAATAGTTATCCAGGATAACGGGATTCATAGGACCTCTTCCTTAATGGAGACATATTTTATTGTCACACATTTTTATTGGTAAGGAAAATCAGAATAAATGCACAGCCCCCTGAAAAACCTCAGATAATTTACAGTTTTTGTGGCCTTTGTTACTAAATGACAAAAATGAATTTCTTTGAGAAATTTAGGGGCTAACACTTTGTGGTCTTTCATTGCTATCCCAAGTAAATTAATTTAACAAAAAATGCTTACCTGTGAAGTCCTGACTGTGTGTTGTGATCCCCAGAGCCCTTTCAGTGTTTCGTAGCATATTGGTTGCTTTTGGAGAGAGGTTATAGAATTATAGCATCACAGACCCATAGGATGCTTTGGGTTGGAAGGGACCTTCAGAGGTCATCTAGCCCAACCCCCCTGCAGTGAGCAGGGACAGCTTTAACCAGATCAGGTTGCTCAGAGCCCCATCCAACCTGACCTTGAATGTTGCCAGGGATGGGACCTCCACTACCCCTCTGGGCAACCCGTTCCAGTGCTTAACCACCTTCATTGTAAAAAATGTCTTCCTTATATCCTGTCTAAATCTACCCTCCTTTAGCTTAAAGCCGTTAGCCCCTGTCCTGTCACAACAGGCCTTGCTAAAAAGATTCTCCCCATCTTTCCTATAGGCCCCCTTTAAGTACTGAAAGGCCGCAATAAGGTCTTCTCACAGCCTTCTCTTCTCCAGGCTGAACAACCCCAACTCTCTCAGCCTGGCCTCGTAGGAGAGGTGCTCCAGCCCTCGGATCATTTTTGTGGCCCTCCTCTGGACCCGCTCCAACAGGTCCATGTCCTTCTTGTGCTGAGGGCCCCAGAGCTGGACGCAGTGCTCCAGGTGAGGTCTCACCAGAGCAGAGCAGAGGGGCAGAATCACCTCCCTCAACCTGCTGGCCACGCTTCTTTTGATGCAGCCCCGGATGCGGTTGGCCTTCTGGGCTGCAAGTACACATTGCTGGCTCATGTCCAGCTTTTCATCCCCCAAGTCCTTCTCCGCAGGGCTGCTCTCAATCCCTTCATCCCCCAACCTGTATTGATATCGGAGGTTGCCCCGTCCCAGGTGCAGGACCTTGCATTTGGCCTTGTTGAACCTCATGAGGGTCACACAGGCTCACCTCTCCAGCTTGCCCAGGTCCCTTTGGATGACATCTTGTCCTTTTGGCGTCAACTGCACCACTCAGCTTGGTGTCGTCTGCAAACTTGCTGAGGCTGCACTCAATCCCACTGTCTGTGTCATTGATGAAGATATTAAATAGCACCGGTCCCAGTATGGACCCCTGAGGGACTGCACTTGTCAGTCATCTCCATGTGGACATCGAGCCATTGACCACTACCCTCTGGATGCGACCATCCAGCCAATTCCTTATCCACCAAACAGTCCACCCATCAAATCCATGTCTTCCCAATTTAGAGAGAAGGATGTTGTGGGGGACCGTGTCAAAGGCTTTACAGAAGTCCGGATGGATGACATCCACTGCTTTTCCCTTGTCCACTGATGCCGTCCCTCCTTCATAGAAAGCCACTAAGTTGGTCAGGCAGGACTTGTCCTTGCCCTTGGTGAATCTGTGCTGGCTGTCTCGAATCACCTCCCTGTCCTCTATGTGCTTGAGCATAGCTTCTAGGAGGATCTGTTCCATGATCTTCCCAGGCACAGAGGTGAGGCTGTTCTAGCTCTTTAAAAGTGGAGTTGCAGGCCCCTGTCTTTGGTGGATTTGGATAGTATATTTGATGCTTTTCTTCAGGAAACTTAGGAAGCTGAAAGATAAGAAGAAACAGGTAAGGTATAAACCAAATATTTGTGCTGGATGGAAAAGACTATTTTAAAGGTTTGAAATAACACATGTCGTGTTGCCCTCTCCTCCCCCAATTAGGTGTTTAGTAAATGCTAATAAAAGTAAAAATGTGGTGGAAAAATGTCTTCAGTACAGTATTACTACTCAAGTGGAAGATTCAACAGGTACATAATTCAGCTGAACTCAATTCAAATAACTTGGAGTAAAGTTCTCCATGGTAGCCATACCTAGGCAGAACATTAGCTTTCTTTTGTAGTCACAATTACGGACTGCCTTAAAGTGGACTGCTGCTTATTGTTTCCCTTGGCCACATCCATAAGACTGTGTGTCTACAAAGGCTGTACCTTTCTTTGTTCACCACTATTTTTTCCTACACTATCCATGACTTTTATCTGTCATCAAACTTCAGGCTGCATCCCTTTGGGAAGAGAACTAGTGTTTAGCTAAGCTGAAGAATAGTAGAAATGTGATCATTCATGAACAAATTCACTCTTCTGTTTTATGGATGGATCAGCCCAGTTTCCATCATTATATTGGGGAAGGTAAGGTTGGAGTCAAAGACCATCCACAAAGAGGACGTCTGTTTTCTTGCAGACATGGAAATAGAGACACCAGCCTGTCAGTAGGTTGGCAGGACTTGTGGAGAGGTGAGGAGGAGCAAAGATCTACTGCTGCCCAAACCCGTTTCTTTGAAGGGCTGCAGAGTGTAATCTGGGCTTCTGAATGAAGCCCCCTCCCTGAAATGTATTTTGGTCAGCAGCTATTATTGCTGCTGCTTCTTGTTCTTCTTATCTCCAGACCTACTTGGCTAGGTCCTGTGAGACCTAGTTAGTACTTAAAGGACTTCAGTCACAGGACGGCCTGCTAGCTTCTGATCTTGTTTATATATTGCTGAGGTGGCTGAAAACTGTCTGTAAAGCTTTTCACTCTTTGTATGTGTGATGCCTAATTCATGATCTGCAAGTGTTTGGAACAGTACAGGAGCTCTCTATGTAAAAATGTCTCCCATGAAAGAGATGCAGAGAAGTTGAATTAAAAAAAAAAAAAAGGCATTTTGCTCTTTTCTGTGTGAACTACGTACATACTGGCTGTCCCAGCCAGTGTACAGCCTTCTTCTGGGAGTCAGAGGGAGCACTGACAACTTCATGCCTGTATGGATTACCTATAGGGGAAATATTTAACGTGTTCTGATGGAACACCATTGATCAGAATGACAGATAGATCTGCATTTTAAGCTGTAGACATATGCTGACTATAAAGACAGCTGTGCTGGTGGAAGAGCTGTGAGCTGCTGCTAACGTCTCTTCTGCCTTGGGAGACTGACCTCATGGATCTGCAGACAGAACTCATCTTCACTCTTTTGGTACAAAATCAGGATTAGATCAGATCACCCATTTAATCAGCATAAGCTAACCCAACTGTCTTTTTGGAAGCATTCAGTGTGATTATCTGCACCACCGGATCTGCAAGGCTAGTTGTCTCAGGCAGAGAGGTGGTGACAAGCAGCTGAGGGCTGGGTCTTGTACCAGATAAAGCTGCCTCTGCAGAAGGCCATCAGCCCATGGCCAATTGCAGGAGCTCTGGATTGGTTTACATGCCAGCAGAGAAGATTCTTACTGCATTTTCTGTGCATGATTTTTAAAAACAGCAGCAATGAACAATAAAGCTTGATGAATTGTGAAGCTGGCTCTATACTCACAATGTCACCATGAATAACTGAGTGCTACTAGATGTCTTATAAAAATGAAACTGCAGTGCATGCTTGGAAGAGCTTAATTTCCAACCTTGGTTCTATCACTGCTTTTTATTAATTTCCAACCCTGGTTCTATCACTTTTTTTCTCTGCTTTCTGCCTCAGTTTCCCTATTTACCTCACAATGATGCTGTCAGCATTAACTACATGGCAGCTACTCTGAGTTTTGTAAAGGTGAGATGTAGAAAAGGCACAAAGCTTTTAAATACGACCTTCCAGTTGTACAAGTCACCTGAGTGTGGTCTGGGTTATCTGTACTTAACCAGAGATTTCTTCTTCAGTCACTGAGAACTGGAGTGTCCTGATCTCAGAGGAAGTCAAACTGTATGGGGGGAACAGCAAATGAAGTTAAAGTATTTTCTAAGTGCCAGAGCTGGTAGCTGCCCCCTTAGCTAGTAGTTCTGAGCCTACTAAGCTTCGCTGGAAATAGGTCTTGGCCTCCGATGATCCTCCTGTTGTGCAAAAATAGGCTTTGTAAGCCCACCTCCACACATGATTAGTGTTTCTTAAATTGACCAATGATCAATGAAAACTGACTAAAAATAACTACTCCTAGTATTACATATTCTGTGGAAATGTTTGGGTGGATGGACAAATACTCCACTAAAAATGGCTCGTGTACCTAATTATATACATCACTGTGTACAGCACTGTGCTGATGACTGGGAATAGCAGCTAATTAGTGCAAATTGACCTACTTAACATTATCAGCTTTTACTCTGCTGAAAAGCTTCTTATCCATGCCAGTGTACACTTTTTCTGTTTCACACAGTTATTGCCAAACCTTTCCTGGCAAGCACTACCGTGGCACACAGAGGTGCTGGCTTTCTCCTGTCCCAAATTCCTCATAACCCTGTGTGGTCAGCAGATGCCAAGGACTCTCCAGCAGTTCATGCAGGTCATCTTTAAAGTCTTCCAAAATGAAGTGCCTGTCAAAACCCCAATGTAGTAGAATGCCTCCAGGGAAAAGCAGAGTAAGAACAAAAATTTCATGCCCTTTTCCTCCAATATATTATGTAAAACACTCTCAGGGTAAAATGCTGCTGGGGTTAAAGCCAAACACCTCACGATGGCTTACATGGTGTTCTCTAAATAATTAATGTCTAGGGCTTCTTCTCAGTCTTCATAAGGGATAAGAAGAGTTGCTTTTTCTCCCTGGATCTTGTTCTACCATCTGTGTAGTGATGAAATATTTTAAATCATTCAGCTCTCATTTCAGGGGTTCCTCTGTGGTCCTCAGCAAAGGTATGGCAGGCATGACTTTGGCCCCAAAATTGCTAGCTTTTGATCCCACTGATGCATTTTTTTCTTTTCCACTCTATTGGACTCTGAAGAATTATTTGTCTGACAGAAGATATCAGATACACTAAACGATCCATCTTGCTTTTGTGGGTATTAGCAGCTATATTAATAGCTCTGTTGACTTCTGAGGCTACCAGGTTTTCGCATGAGTTGGGTTTATTCGTCATTCTCAGTGCTGAGGTATCCTCCATGGAGACTGCAACTACCAGCACATAGAGCTCTAATTTAAGCCAAGATGCTTAGCTTGACCACTGATATATTCAGATTCTGGCTCTGTTGAGCTTCAGTAGAAAGAGTCATGACTTCAGGAGTGTTTCTAAGTAAGTTTCAAGAATAAATGGTAAACCAAGAGAGTGCAGTCTTTACCTCTGGTCTTCCTCAGAACAACCACATCAAAAGCCTTGGTAGGGATATTGGGATGGAAAGGCTGATGACTGCTTGCATCGATGCCGGTATCTCAGTCCTCAGGTGATCTGAAGTTTGGGAACATGGTATACCTAGAGGTGTGTGTCTGGTAGGGATGAGAGGTGGGAAATGGCAGGCACAGTGGTCTTGGGTTGGTTTGAGTTGGCAGGAAGGACGGAAAGACAGAAAATTTCCTTATTTTGCATTTCACAGGGTTTTAGCATTAAATATAACACTTTGCAAGAACTGGGAGAGATGTGAGAATCAGAAAGGCAGTATCTTAGTTCTTTAATCCCCTCTTGCTTGCATCCTGCAAAGAATTCACAATGATGATTCCCTTGGAGCTTTTGTACATAATCAGTCACACCAATTCACATTTACTTTTATGTGGCTTAAGGGAAAGAAAATGTGGACTTCTAACTCTTGCACAGCTCCAATTAATAGTAACTGAGTTTGTGCTTGTGAAATCAAAATTTGCCTCTAAGAATATGTTTATTTCTGGGAGGAAAGAGGATAAAGCTAAATTGGAGAGTTTTATGGGATACTGAGAACCGGGATTTCATGGAGTGCCCGTGTTCCTGTGGCTGTTCTGTTCAGCTTTCAGTTTTTCATGACAGGATAATTAAAAAACTTATTAAAATGAGAGGAATCTTGAAATCTTCTGAGGAAAATGAAAGCTGCAGTTTATTCCAGTAAGAGAGGCTAGCACCGTGTTTGGATTCTTCTAAACTTTAACACAATTTCATACAGCAGCTTACTGAGAGCAAATGCCTTTCCCCAATTGCTGTATAAAGCAAAGTCACAACCTTATACAGGAGCCAAATTAATTTCATTCCTGAGGCTGTGCATCATGACATAATGAGATGTCTTACCAAGCTGGGCTTTTCTGAGGCTTCTCTCTCATAAATCTGCTTTGTACATACTTTAGATCCCTTAGCTGTTCCTGGTAGATGCTCCCAAACACTTTAATTCACATTAGGTAAAGAGGCCAGGAACAACACAGCCGAGAAAACCCTATTAGCCCATAGGCAAGTCAGCAAGATCAGTATTTGTTAGGAGAGTGGGTGTGCTATGCAAACACTGCTAACCTGCTAAACCTATCATTACATGCTTCATTCAAGAGTTTTTTGCCTAGTAGCATTGCTGCTGCTTATTGCCAAGGAACCTGCACTGTGCAGTTGTAGCTGTAAGAGGAACAACTTGCCTTTTTATTTCATTAAGGAAAGATAAGATATAATATAGGTGAAATGTACTTACTTAGCCAAACTGTCTGGTGGTTTACAAAGCCTATATTAGGGGAGAAAAATAATAAGTTACCTGAAGTGACCCATGTTCATTTGCACGTCCCGCATTTTATCTGAATCAGTGCAATCAGTATACATTAGAGACAAATCAATGTGTAAGCAGTGCAGACAATATTGTTACTGATGCTACTCATTCCATGAGGAATGTTTTGTGTTGCCAGATGCCAAAGACTGAAAAGGCACTGGGAACAAGTGATGTGCAGAATGTCTTTTTAAAAGAAGCGAGGGAAAAATCTATCCTCTTACACTTTGTGTAATAAGTTCTATATTAATTAACAATGGTATGTGCTATTAGTAAAAATAAGTCCTTTTATCAGTAATGCAAAACAGAAAATGTGTCCTGTTTCTACTTGCAGGGAAAATACTTATTCATTCCATGCTGATAAATTATTTATATTTTACCACAGAGACTTATTTTATGCTTCAAATAAATTTTAAAAAAACAATCAAAAGAAAACACTAACTTTAAAGGGCAAGAATTTCATCACTGAGGCTAGCTAAGGGTCTCTTGACAATTGTACCAAGTTAGAAAAATGTCTTGAGATTAAAAAATTAATTAATTTGCTTAATGGTTCTTTGTGGTGTAATGAAAAAAAAAATTTAAAAAGCCTGAAAGACAGTATTACTGGACTAATCTAAGTGGTTCACCTGGAGCTCCAAAATCTCATGTATTTCATGAGGAAGGCTTAATTACCAGGTCTTGTTTGAAAGGGTCTGGAGAAGTTGTCTTATGATAGTAATTTTTTAAGCTTTATTATTTGTACAGTGATCACATAAATTTTCTTGATTCTACAAGCCATATACCAAAATCTTCATATTGCCAGACCCCCTCATTTTTCTCAGTGGGGAGAGGGATGTCCCAGATTCATTCCCAAACAGGAGATGGTGATAACTTCTCAGGGCTCCTCCCCTTGCTCAGTTTGAGGACAGAGCCGTGTGGGATGTTAATGGGCCCCACGTGGACTCCATCATTTCGGCCTTAGCAGTTCCTCTGGGAACTCTTTTCCTCCCACAGTAGGGGATTACTCAGTAGCCTGGTTAATGACATAGGTGTGGCATGGGAGGTCCACCCAAACTCTGTTCAAGTCACCTGTGACTCAAGAGTTGCAACTTGGCCACTCCATCACTGAACTGGTCTTGGTAAAAATAGGTGTTGCACAGTTACAAAGAGGAAATATGCCCCCTTGCTCAAAGAATTTAAATAGAGTCCTGTGCTTATTTCTTTCCATACTGGCATGGGTATTTTGAAGATAAACTTCAAGTGCCAGATCAATTTTGTTCACACGTTCTGATACAACATGCAGAAGTCATGCATTTCATTGTGAAATCTGTGCTGTGATGCCATGGGACTCAGTGCAATCAATATGAGGTGCGATATCTCACAAATTACCGTGAGAGCATAACTCATGCCTCAACTGAGCTGAACAAAAGATGTACTTTTAATGTGTGATGCCACAAAGATAACAGGACTTAATCAAAGTGTTGGATACTGACAACCATTTGTATATTGTTACATTTATAATGACCTGGGAGTGATTCAAGCTTTGTGTCTGTCTTCAAAACTGAAAGCTTTTACAGACCTAACTATACTTAAAGAACAGCAATCATTAAAAGTTTATTCCACAGATACTTCTAATTGATTTTCTATTTCTACAGTTAGAACTGGTGCTGTGTATATACTGATGCTGTAGACATGAAGGAAAATACTTCTTAGTGTTTTTTTTCAGTTCACATTGTGTTACTGTAATTGTAATATTACAATTGTAACGCAATGTGAATTGAAAATAAACACAAAGAAGTATTTTCAATTTCCATTTCCATTCACATTGTGCTGCAATGTGAGTTGTTACATTCTGCATTGCATTCATTGGACATATTCCTAATACAAATAAGGACAGTCAGTCTGCTTTGTGCTCTGGCATGGCAGAACTACTTAAGTACCTTTGTAGAGCACTTTTCATTACAACATCTAAACTTAAATAAAACAAGGATGATGCATTTTCATGACTCTACAGTGATTTAGAGAAGCTTTGTGATCTCAGGTTGTAACAGCCAGCAGCAAAGCCTTGCATTTTCAAAGGTGGACAGTTGTTTAGGGTGTTCCTTATATTTTTAAAATTCAAACTAGGTAATCAAGCCTGAAGCCACCCAGAATCGATGGCAGTATAGAAAGGCAGAGCTCTGGCTGGACAGGAAGAAAGGAATAGCAGCTTTTCAAAATTCGGCACTGAGATGTTTTCACTGGAGTTCTAGTAGACTTTTGCTGGAGTCTGCCAGTATCCACAGAGGATGTGGAGTCTATCAGTCTCTTGAAAAGAAGTCAGTCTCAAGCTAGAGGGACTTATGCTCCCAGTTTGGAAAGCCCCATAACAAATCCAGGGAGTGGTCCAGATGGACATCATCCCATTTCCCTAGCAATGAGTGAGCTGTGGGCACTCATCAAACACTTTTTGATAAAATAGGCATAGACCAAGTTTCACGTGAGTGAAAGTCTCCTTATGGAAACACTGGCTTCGCCTGCAGTAGTTCTGCAGCTCCCCTCCTAATGTAGTGCCGAGCAGTGGGTGCAGGGACACACTTGTTCGGTAATGGTAATAAAAGACACGTTGGAACCTGTGTGACCTTCACGAGGAGCTCCCACTTCCCACTATTTTTCTACTCTCCAACACATGGTAGGAGCCTCTGAAGAGCTATTTCTTCTCTCAGGTGTAGTGTTGACCCGAGAGTGATGCAGTGGGGAGCCTCATGACCTTCAGCTTCTTTTCTAGATCAGGCCGGAGAAGTTTTTGCTGCTCTTTCCTGTTAATTTCCCACGTACGCTATAAATTATTAAGAGAATAAGATGTATCACTCTTGCCAGTTTTAATGGCAAGGAAATTATGACTGGAGAATAAAACGTTTCACATGTGTAAATTGACTTTCGCTCCAGCCCTTTATTCTTGCAAAGGGAGACAATCACTTATCTTGCCTAACCTTAAAACCTGCTTGGTCAGGGAGCTGCTGGTCAGGGGACCACCAGGGGTCGGGGAGCTGGGGGACAGCCAGAGGAATAGAAGTGCGGTGTGGCATGATAAACAGTGAAAGCAGATAAAAACCCACATGGAAAAAAGCCAGTTTTGATTCATTCGGTGCTGTCACTGAACCCACCGAAAAACTCATTGGTGTGACTTGTCTTTGGAAGGACAGCTGCAAATGCTCTAGCCTGAGTGGTGTGTGTGTGTGTATAACTAGGGATCTTGGCAATGGCTGAAGGGTGTTTCTCAAGGCCTTTCAGGATTTTTGCAGTCTTGTTTGATGTGAACTTGAGGACTCATTACACCTTTAGATGGGAAGAGGCAACTACTTGTCTCCAGTACATTTGACTGGGAGGGCATATGTGTGCTGCCCACTGCTAGCGCACTTACAAAAGCACATCTGCATAAACCCAGTGACCCAGTGCAAAACTGCACAAGGGTATGTAGTGTGCATACTTAAGGCAAAGGTATAGTTGTCCCATGAAAGTGCACGGAGTTATTGCAAATGCCTGGTAATTCATTTCCCACAGAAGACAGTAATGGCTCTGAGGAGCCCTCACAGGCTATAAGGTAAATAAACTGAATGTTAATAGCTCCCAGGCAGGCCTGCAGAGCACCACTCAGTGGGTATTTTTCAGGAAACGTTCCATGTGGCTGTCACTGCCTAAGTCCCTGACAGCAGAAAGAGTATTTGCTCTGAAGGACCTTAGACTATGAACGTGGAAGATGGTTTTTTTGTGTGTTTCACTTTTTGTTTTAAAGGATATGTGCTTTCCTTCAATTCAAAAGTCTTTCAAAGACCAAGAAAATACAACCTTATAGGACAAAAAAAGTTGCTTAAACTAGGAGAAATCGTAGACCATAAAATATTTTTAGAGACCCAGCATGTTTTATCTTAAGATATGAGTGCAAAATAATGGAGAGAGTACATCAGTGTGCTGTTGATGAAATATTCAGAGTCCAAGGTCATGTACTTTTCAGTATGTACGGGCGCAGAGTTTGATATACTCCTGTGTAAAAACTCCTTCCTCCTTATACAGCTAGCACAAGGACACAGAGTCACAGCAGTCCCTGGTTACTTCCTCTTAAGGCAGCAAATCCCCAGAAAGGTGCCATGATCTCTACCTCAGCCTGTGTACATGGATGATCCATTCTGGTGAGGAGCTGGCACAGGGAACTCTCCTGCTATGAAGTGAACGGGTCTCAGGGCATCCTTAGCCAAGAAGCATTTGAGGTTGGCCAGCCTAAGAATTACTGAAAACACAGCAGGCCTCCTACCCCATGCAAAGGACAGTTTTTAATTTACTCCACAATCTGTCTGTGTTTCTGCTGTTCCAGGGATACCAATATAAATGTCACATAACAGGACACTTACCTGACTAGCAAGTCACTGTGAACTAGATTATTCCCTTGTGTCATTCCACTGCGGTCTATGGAGTTTTCTTGAGGATGGATTAGGTAATAAAACAAACAGAACCACCCAGCTTGACTGTGCAAAATGAGAGTGCCCAGTTTGCATGGATGTTGGTTTTAAAACAATTTCAAAGGTGCTCCATTATCTTACAAAAGTGCACAGGCCAGTTCTTGTCACTTAGGGCTTAGGAAACTTGCAGGAGGAAACTTGCAGCAAAACTTGCTACTTCCTTGTAGCTTGTAATCAAATTCTGCAGAAGCAGCACAGCCAATGCCTCTAATGTGCGTTGCTGGTCAAAGGCCATCAGCTGTCCCAGTAAAAAGGAGTTTGTGCTTGTACACTCTTCTAGTTAACCAAACTCACTTCTGCTTGTGCTGCACGCTGTAATAAGGTAATAAAGAGAGAAGTGGACTACAAAGAGCAGGGTTGGAGGTTTCCTTGCGTGGCTTCTGTGGCCTGTTTACAATTAGCTCTCCTGCTTTTCTACAGTGTCTGAGTTTACACAAAATGGGGAGCAGGTATATCATATGCAAGGAAGCTAAAAGAAGAGTGGTGGGGTCAAACCGTGCCCCTCATAGCGCTGTAAAGATAACTGACAGAAATCATTGGAGAATTGTTCTCAGCTTTCTAATATGGTCTAGCCATCAATGCTAATGAGAGGTGTAACTTGTTCATTTTCTGCTTTTGAAGAATTTACATTTACACTTTAAATTACGTTAATCTAAAATCTCTGTAGTTTGATAAAACTTAAGTGTTTTGCTGGTGCCATCAAGTGGCAAAATGTTGGACTGCAGAACTCCAGCAACATCCAAATTCACTCTGATTTCTCTTGAACAGCAGCAGTGAGGAAAACAATCCTTGCCAAGCCTCCTCCAAAAATATACCTCTATATATATACTAGAAAAATGGAGTGAAACACACATGGTGTCATGGTTACTTGAGTTGCTTCAATTTAATCTGGATTCCAACTAGTAGAAAGGGTAATATTTTTGACTATTACAAGTTGATAAGTATGGACAACCTGTAAAGCAAACTCAGAGACCCTTGTTGAAGAGATACTAAACTGAAGGGGCACAATGCTGTATTCTGAATTTCCTTCCCAACTGTCTTTGCTCTCCTTTGTTACTAGCTAAGCCCTTTTTACATAGCCCTTCAGATTTCATATCATATCTGCACTTTGTATCATATATGTGTAGTATCACCAGAGTGGAATGAATATTCAGTTTGCTGTTATATTCACTAAATTCAGAATCTGGTTAACACACAGTTTAAACTTACAGCTCATCATTCATACGCACATCACTTTTTTTCAGCTGGGTGACATCACAGAGTACTGCTCAGTGGGAAGGCCTCTGTGCAAAGAGAAAGCATAAATGTAGAAAGCTTATGCTCTATTTGTTTATAAAAATCCAAATCAATTGATATGTTTTTGTCCTGATTTCTCAGATAACCCTTAATATCAAAACTCATAGATGCCACCAGTGTGGAAATCTATCCTCAGTTTCAAAATCTATGTCATGCAGGGCTGGATTTTGGAGGTGCTGAGCACCTGTGCCTGAATCCAAAGTTTCTGAGAATGCTATTTCCCTCTCAGAAGGCCTAGCCCTTAAAGCTCCTCATCATGCACCCCTAACACTCAATAGGAGCTGTAGGAATGCCTTGAATGGGTGCAGGATCCACCTTTTGATCCTATAAGGAGTTAAGTTATTCCTGTGTTAATGGGATCACTTCCAGCTCCTTCTGATGCCAAAGGACTCCCAGAATCCAGCCAAACTGCATGGTCCTTTTCACTGAAAAAGATCTGAAGTGAAGACAGCACCGTATCTATCTTTGCGTTTAAACAGTGGAAAACAAAGCAGTTTGTATGGGACATTAGGTTAAAAAAAATCCCAAAAAAACAAAACCAAAACCTCAACAGAAGAGAGAACAAATGGGAGTGCCAAAATGAAGGAAATGCAGTTGGAAAAATCAGCCATAACCAGGAAGATTTTCCTGGTATTAGAAATAGCCTTATAGTTCTGACCTGGCCTTGCTAAATAAAGCTGAGCTTGACCCAAAGAATCTAATCAAGTGTCTGTTGCTAAAAGGAATGGGTGGCCTTAATTGCATGGCTGAAGAAGAGATGTTGGCTGCAAGAAAGGGAGAGAAAAGATGCTGAATCAGAAGGGATTTGTTTGACTTTTATGGCTAGCTCAATGGACTCCCAAGGCTTGGGGTTGTAACACAGTCCAACGGGAATATTCTCGTAATACTCGGGGTCTAACCACAAGTTCAGAATGGTTATTGTCTTCTCTTTCCTCTTTAAGCACTTTCCCACATTAGCGCTGTCTGGTGTAAAGTGTGCTTCTGTGCCACGCGTGCTGTCAGTTGAGCAACGTGGGCATCTATGGTCAGACTTAGCATTCCAGCTCTCGTGCAAGGCTGTGTCTTCAGAAGTGCTGAGCACCTCTGTCTTAAACTAAACTCACTGAGACTCCCTTCCTCCCCTCTCAGCCCCATCACACCAACAGTAGTACCCGATTACCATCCCGGAGGCCAGGTCCCATGCACCCTTAAGACAGGACAGCTGGTGCTGAGGGTGCTCCCTTAATGACAGACTGTGCCACAGGAAGGTGCTACTATGGAGCAGCAATGCTCACTTTAGAGCCAAATCCAGGGATTTAAGAGGTCTGAATGCGGATCTGGGATGATCAGTGCATACGTAGGATTGCCATGACACAAATTCTCTTTCCAACATTAAAATGAAAACCTACTAACCTGGAAATGCTTATTTTTTGCCTAGTTCAACTATTGTGCTTGTGAAGATGCACTTTTCACTACTTCTGTGTTTGATGCATGTGGGTGGCATGGCTCAATAAGTAATACATTGCATCTGAAGTCTTCTGGAGCAGTCCCTCTGCAAAGTGGCAGTAGTTGTATCTGTAGAAGAATGTGTTTATTTTCCTTGTACTTACTTTGAATCGAGGTGGATGACTTTTGCATTGGAAACTGCATGGTAATTGTAGTAGTTTGGCTGCAACCTGGAGAGAGGCCTGGCTGTGGGTGGTCTCCAGAGATTCCTTCCAACCTGAACCCGGCGGTGACTCCACTGCTTGGAAAAAGAAGCTCTCATGAGCTGTTCTCCCTGTGCTCTCCCTGCACCTTGGCATCTGCTGGGTAGCACTGGGCATCACTTCATTTCATTTTCCTCTTAAAACCAGCTTTGCCAGCCCCTTGTTTCTCATTTACCAAAAATTCTTTTGGGTTCTGTAGTTCTGTACATAGGAAATTTGCCAGCATGTGTAAAAGCCACAGATTAGTTATGTAGAGGTGCACTGGAAAATATATTTGCTTTTTTCTCATAAAGTTTCATAGACTTCTCACAAAATGATTTTAAAAATGAAGCACAAGCAAACACACTCTTCTTAACACTAGTTTTAGAACCACAGAGTCTGTTACTCTGGTGTTTGCCCTGTGTACTGTACTTTCACAGCCCAAAGTCCTGCACATACGTAGAAAATACCAATATCAGCATAATCTAATAATGTCTTCTTTACTAGAAAGTTATATTTAAATCAAGCTTGACTGTGGGATTTTATTTTTTTGGATGGTTCTTATGAAAAAGCAATATTTGCTCTATAAAAATCAAAGAGTTATCACTGTGGATATTTCCTGAAGTTTTATTTACAAGCTGTATAATAAACATATTTATTTAGGCTTCTCATACTTCCCCATTGAAAGTTGTGCCAGTGCTATCGGAGGCATAGCCACAAGAATACTTCATTTGCATCTTGCCCACTTCAGCTTTCTCCTCTATAACTGTTCGCACTAGAGTAAGTTTCTATTTAATTTCTAGCCTGTATCTCTGGTAGGTTTCATTGAGATCAGTGAAGGTGGTGCCGTCCGGGATACTGTAGCTCTGCTACTTACCTGGAAGCTAATCTGTGTGATACAGAAACTTAGGGTGGAGGAAAGGCTAATCTAATTTGCCCCTACAATAGCACTATCACGATTGTGAGTATCTGGCTATGCTCTGAACAACTCTTCTGCAGTATCACTTTACTGTGAGAGCTGCCCAAGACAAATAACAAATGGATGTCATGAACATGGGTTTATAAAGTAGCTTGCAAACCTTTTCTCCCTTTTGGACTGCTAAGTTGATTTTCTGAGATGGGGCATGTAGTCACTGAGACTCATCTAGCTTCTTATTAGGTACTATGCCTGACTTGGCTAAAACCTTTGCTTGCTCGCAATGTGAGGGTAGGAATGTAAAGACTGTGGGATCACAGCACCTTGTCATGCTTCTGCGATGGAAATCCCATCAGCATAATTTAACAAGAGCAAGTGCTGGATTCTCTACCTGGGACAGGGTAATCCTGGTTATATATACAAACTGGGGGACGAGAAGCTGGAGAGCAGCCCTGTGGAAAGAGATCTGGGGTTTGGGTTGATGGCAAGTTGAATATGAGTCAGTAGTGTGCCTTGGCAACCGAAAGGGCCAACTGTGTCCTGGGGTGCATCAAGCACAGCATAGCTAGCCAGTCGAGGGCAGTGATTGTCCCACTCTGCACTGCACTGGTGCTGCCCTATGTCGTGGTTTAACCTCAGCCAGCAACTAAGCATAAGGGGTGGACACTGTCCTGGGAAAATGTGCTGGTTTTGGCTGGGGTAGAGTTAATTTTCTTCACAGTAGCTAGCATGGGGCTGTGTTTTGGATTTGTGCTGAAACAGTGTTGGTAATACAGGGATGTTTTTGTTATTGCTGAGCAGTGCTTACACAGAGTCAAAGCCTTTTCTGCCTCTCACACCACCCCGCCAGCGAGTTGGCTGGGGGTGCACAAGAAGCTGGGAGAGGACATAGCTGGGACAGCTGACCTCAACTGACCAAAGAGGTATTCCGTACCATATGACGTCATGCTCAGCAATATAAAGATGGGGGAAGAAGAAGGAAGGGGGGGACGTTCAGAGTGATGGCATTTGTCTTCCCAAGTAACCATTATGCATGATGGAGCCCTGCTTTCCTGGAGATGGCTGGACACCTGCCTACCGATGGGAAGTAGTGAAGGAATTCTTTGTTTTGCTTTGTTTGCCTATGCGGCTTTTGCTTTACCTTTTACACTGTCTTTATCTCAAGCCACGAGTTTTCTCACTTTTCACTTTCTCACTTACTTTTCTCTGCCCCATCCCACCGGGGCAGAGTGAGCGAGCAGTTGTGTGCTGCTTAGTTGTGAGCTGAGGTTAAATCACGACACCGCACCTCGAGTACTGTGTGAAGTTTTGCGCACCTCGGTATAAGAAGAATATCAAAGTGTGTCCAGGGGAGGGCGACCAAGATGGTGAAAGGTCTCGAGGGCAAGACTTATGATGAGCCGCTGAGGTCACTTGTCTTGTTCAGCTTGGAGAAAAGGCTGAGGAGTGACCTCATTGCAGTCTACACCTTCCTCAAGGGGGGCAGTGGAGGGGGAGGTGCTGATCTCTCTCTGGTGACCAGCGATAGGACACATGGAAATGGTATGAAGCAGCGTCAAGGGAAGTTCAAGTTGGACATTAGGGAAAGGTTCTTCACTGAGAGGGTGTTTGGTCACTGGAACAGGCTCCCCAGGGAAGTGGTCATTGCACCAAGCCTGTCAGAGTTCAAGGAGCATCTGGATGATGCTCTTAGTCATATGGTTTAGTTTTAGGTAGTCCTGTGAGGAGCAGGGAATTGGACTTGATGATCCTTATAGGTCCCTTCCAACTTGAGATATTCTATGACTCTATGATCATTTTACAGAGAGGATAGTTCGTGATAATGCAGAGGAGAGCAAGGACAGGAAGGCATGTTTCCAGTCTTTGAGTCATGTTTTAACCCTTGGACAGCCATGCAGATGCCTAGTCTGCATCTTCCATTCCTGTTCTTCAGGAAAGCCTGCAGGCCTGAAGGCTATCCTTGAACTTCTCCAAGTCAGCCCTAAGTAGCAGGATGTTCTGCCTTCAAAGCTTTCCTGTAAGTCAGTAAATAATTATCAATGATGAGCAAAAAAAAAAAAAAAAAAAGGAAATTTGGAACTTCAGGTGTTTAAGCAAAACACTGTATGGAGATTTGTGGGTAAATATTCCCACATTAATATTTAGGGCAGTGTGAAAAGAGCAGAAGCTTAAATTGCCCATTTTTGGAATGCAGATATTTGCACATCTCAGTCTACATTACTGCTTAACCTGTTAGCTGTCTGTTGTTATTCTTTTTAAAAAGACTTCACTTAAACATTTTGACTGTGAGAAGTACATGTCTAGCCTACCTTGGCCACAGGTCTACGCTGCTACCATAAGGTTGATGTCCTTTAACAAATGTACATGGAGACTTATACTTTGCCCTGTTGTCTTCTGGCAGTACAGGTAGTGCAATTCCTCCATGCTCCCTTTCTGCTCCCCAGGGAAGCTTGCAGCAGTGAAGGGATTCCCTGAACTCTTTATATCTGAAAGAAAAAAAAACAAAACCAAAATGTCCTTTAATGGCAGCAACAGTGGTGGTTACTTGAAATCCTTTAAACAATGACAACCTGGCTTTATTTTCTTGGCTCTGAGTCACTCAGCCTTATTCTGGGTAATGCTATTGTGGTGAACTGTCACTAGGAGAAGTAAGTGCAAGGGTGATTGGCAATTGTTTAATGAAGGTTGAATCACATCTATTATGTTTTGATCAATGAGAGCAAGAAGGAAGGTCATAGATATGTGCAACATGAACATCTTAGAGCGTAACTGAGTCTCAGCTGCCAGCACGTAGATACCTGCACTGTCCCTTCAGTACTACATAAATGGCATATGGACAGCAAATATATGCAATGGCACAGATGGAAGCTTTAGCATCTAATTGTCACTGATTTCAGAATTTGTTATTTGTGCCTTTGAAAACCTCCCCTCTCTAGAGAGGGGTGAGAAATGTTACCGTTTAGTAGCTGTAATTCACACTGACTGCAAGCTGTGTCAGGCACTTCACATGGATGTGCTAGTGGCTGAGGATATTTAGTAGATTTCCATACATCTGTGTCATTTGAAATCAAGCAGTTCAATGTGTTTAGATGCTTGTTCACCTCACATAGTTTCAGTTTACAGTGTTGTAAAGATGGACACCAAACTTGCTGAAAATTTAAAGCTTGCTTCTCTTTCGGATGGCCGCAGTTTTCCAGTCAGGAGAACATGTGCACAGCCAAACATCTTCTTACTAAGGAGATAAGTCCTGTGAGGAGCAGGGAGCTGGACTCGAAGATCCTTATGGGTCCCTTCCAATTTGAGATATTCTGTGATTTTATAAGAGCCGAAGTGAGTGATTTAAATTTGACTTAGTTGTCCAGGATTTTCTGAAAACCTTATCAAGAAAGTAATGAACTGTTGTGGTATGTGGTGGGGATCGTCACCCTTGGGATGCTTTACTGGTGTGTTGTCTTCATTCATATGAAACCAGAGAGAGTGATGTTCAGGTGAATGGGTTGGGAACCGGTAGTCATGTCTATTTGTTGTCAGCCCTTCCATCACTGAGTAGCCCTGATTCTTGCTTTAGCTAGACCTCATCTGTACTACCATCTTTTTCTGATATTGGGTGTTTCTTTACTGATGGGTGAAGCAGCTGGACATGGCTGCAGACCAGTAGGAGTGCCTTTTTTGACTGCGGTATAGCCACTGCACTGCTATCACAGCACAGACTGTGGTGAATCATGCTGATATTCCAACTCACTCCCAATTACCTTGGGTTTCTCTGTCCTCTGGTCCAAACTATGGTGTTGCTCTAGGTTTCTGGATGTGTGAGTCCTGATGGAGTGACGTGTTTCTGCTAAATAAATCCTTGTTTAAGCAAAGATGTTAATCTTTGCTAGTGTTGATCATTACTTTGGAGATGGACGGAGATGGTGTTTTTCATTAAGCTCTACTGGGAGAAAGTGCCACTCTGCAGGTACTAGCTAGATTCAGGCTTATGGTGTTTTTCAGGTGTAAGGTTCTCCTAATTCTGACTTCATCTTACATTGATTCAACGGTAGAATAACATCCCTGAGCCCACATCTCCTAAAAGGGGAAATAGGATCGTTATTATGTGGCTATGAGCATTTCAATGAGCATTACAATCCTGACCTTTGTTATGAGTATAGGCATTTAAGGAAGAAAAAATAATGGCGACAGAAACTTCTCATCAGAGTACATTTAGACTCAAACTGTGGCAGAGTCCTAGATATCTAAACAGATTTTAGGGAAATCTATTGGAGAGATCATGATGTACAAGACACAGACAGTGCTGCTGTGCAGTGCGGTGCCCTCCTATCATGTAGTTCCTTCCATGTGGTTCAGCACCACTCTGCTGCTGCCTGATGCTGTTCCTTTATCTATTTTGCCAGGATGCAAAGGGCAATATGTTTGTATTGTACAATGAACTAAACTAAGAATCTGATGTGCCGTAGATTATCAGAAAGCTTTTCTCTTTTTAAGTTTCTGAAGGAACTCAAGCATCCATTTCTTAAGTTCTGTCTGAAGCCTCTTTTCCCCTTTCTGAAAGAAGGCAGGCAGATGCATGGCTGTGGTGTTTGTATTCATTAAGCTGACTCTCACTGGAAATATTAATAAATCATTCCTGTTGACTGCTATCTATAGGTTACTAAGTTGCAGAACAACCACTTTATCATAGACAGAAAAGAGAAGCAGTGCACACAAAGGTCTGATCATCCATTCAGCCCAAACAGGACTTTGTTAGGCTTAAAGGTTTCCAAGTCTCCTTCTGACAAAGAAACATTTATAGCTGATATTGATCCAGGGATATCGAAGATCTCAAGGACCCAGAAAAAAATGTCTCTGCCCAGAGAATATCAAATGAGGGCTAGGGTGAACAAAGTTTTAAAGAGTGTGTCATGAACAATCCTTAAGAGTCTCAGCAATATAGTCAATGATTCAATAGAGACTATTACCACTTCTAACTTCCACAATTGTAGATTCTGAATTCTGACAGCCGACTTCCAGCTTTCTGGCTCTTTTGTTCTGACAAAAAAAAGAAAGCTAACTTTCTAGGATCAGAACATTAGTTCACTAGTATCTCCTTTATTTTTAAAAAGTTAAATTTTTCCCTTCAAATTTGTTCTGTTGTGGGGAGCTCAAACCACAGTGTATGAATACAGTGCCTTGGATTGTGAGCTTGTGAAGGGCTCCAGTAACTGATTTGATCAGTGCATGAAGCCAACTCATCTGAGGGGGTGTGTTGCCAAGAGCTTCCAGAAGGTCTGTGGAAAGAGAGTTCTTAGAGGGATAGGATTAGGACCTGCCTCTGTATGAGTTCACATAGGGTACATTCACACTGGCATTTTAATTTGGATCAGGAGTGCACTTTTGACATGAGTCTCCCAATGGCCTCTATTTTGCAGTGCCTTGATGTTGAAGTACATGAACTGGGTTCCTTCTGGATGAAATTAACTGGAAGATGTGCTCCAGGAACACACCAGGAGCGCAGCACAGCCACAAATGGACCCTCAGTCCCTGGAGTCACACTAGAGGTAATACAAAGTAAAGAGCACCTGAAGTGCATTTTTTCTGGACTTCAGATCCTCAGCACCAACTGTTTCACTCTACACATCTTCTGCTGTAGTCCACAATACTTGCCAATGTAGATGTAGTCACTGAGCAACATACTGATTTGGAATTTAGTGAATTTTTTGGGGGGTGGGAATGGCTGACCTTTTTTTAAATTAACTCTTGCCCAATAAACATATAAATAACTATATACATCATCTTAGTATATCAATGCTGAATCTGACTATCTGATCATAGGGTAAAATCCTTAGGGTACCTTCTTTATATATATATAACCTAGCATTACACAAACACACATATGTGCTTCTGGTTATTCATGGGTGCTGTTTATCAGTGCAAATGTTGGTAACAAATACTCTAGTCCAAGATGATAATGTAATAAAATTCATGGATACGGGATTTTTAAAAGCTGAGAACAACTGTGCTCTATTTATTTATTTGCTTGTAATTATGTGACTAGGAAAAAATGCACCATTTCGAAAACATGTATGATATTGTAAAACATGCAGCCACCTTCTTTTCAGGTTTAAATTGGTGAGTTCATGTGAGTGTGTGTTTAAGTTAGCAGGAAAATGTAGCTTACTGCCTGTATTACAGTATAGATTTTTCTGTTCAGAGAGAAAAGAAATGTTATGACCTGGCCATGCTTATTTCTTGTTTGTGTTTCAGAGTTGGGTCTAACATAGTTGTCATCTGAAAGATGCTGTGCTGGTGCATTCAGATCCTGACATTGCAGCCCGTTCTGAGCTTAATTTTTCCTTTTGCTGGGTATCCTGTGTAGCCAACATGAATCTTTCCTGTACATTCACTAAAATTTAGATCAGGCCTATAATTCAGTAATTTTTCAAGTCTGTCAATAGTTAAAACAGTTCAGAAGAAAATTCACCCAAATTCCTGTAATGCAAGGAATACAACAAAAACTTGCCTCAGGGAAGATATGTAAGTGGGAGGCATCAAGACACAGTTTGACAAGTGTGATAATCCAATAATATCAAAATACTCTGATTGGAATTCAGATGTTGGATGTGAGACATGAGAATAATGGAAGAAGTTAGCAGTGGTAGTAAACCAGAAGGCTGTCAGTAAGATGGAAACTAAGAATTGATTTTGCCAACAAAATATATAAAATCTCATGTCAAAGAGTGCTGGAGGACTTGAGGCTAACTCTGGAATCTGTTATGTATGTAAAAAATAGAAATTTAGATTAAGAAAAAATTTTTCATGAGTACTGAGCAGCATGGAGGTTCAACTTTCCAGAACTTTAGAAACTGCAGGAATTCTGTCATATCCTTCCCCCTAGCCAGCAGTATAATTGGGCCTGTAAAATATAGTAAAAATGCATCGATTCCTGAAACTTCCTGATTACACACTGATGACTAAAAAAGCAAAATGCAGGCTTCCTGTAATTTTAAATTTTAATTTTAAAGTTTATCTCAGTAATTCTAGGTCGATCTGTAATCTAGAAAAAAAAAGGTTCAAAACAGCAGGAGATCAAAGGGATTGGTTTGTGAAATATGCTCATTTTTTCCAGATTAGAAATCAATATATATGTTGGGTTTATTCTTTATGAAAGTTATTTCATGAGATTTTGAGCCCTAAAGCCACAGTATAACGTATTTTAGCAGTCCTCTTTTCCAGAGTAATCAACGTATTTCCCAGGGAACTGACAGACTATTGCGCAAAGTAGAAAACATTTTGTTTCATTAAAACAAAAAGAAAAAATTGTGTCTTGCCGGAAAAACATAACCATTAGAAAATACTTTCAGTAACAGCAAATGGATATCAAATACTTCTAATGGAATAATTTACCTTTACGAGTTCTGTTCTCTCAAAAACCACCACTGACTTCTTAGATGAAGTATATGAAGAAGCACTACTGCTTCCTCCCCCTCCACCAGGAGCCAGCAGAGCATTTCCTTGTATCTGTGCCCTGATTCTTCTGGGACAATCCTTCTAGGATGTCTGGGGGTTTGGGCCATATGTATCGTAAGAAAAGAAGCTGATGTATCATGTTCAAGTGAAAAAATTCAAATGAAGTCTGTCATGCTGGCAGTTTCTGGAGTGTTGGGTGGTCTGCTATGCTATCTACATGAGCACTATGGGAATCTTATACTGATGAGTCAGGTTCAAGTACTACTGGCTTGCAAAGAGAAAAATGTTCAGAGTTGTTGATTTGCAATCTGCAAGTGGGCAAGAAACAGAAGCCAGACTTTCCTTCCAGCAGGACTGCTGTGGTTCTGTAATGTAATGCAGTTCTGAGTCCACATTGTTCAGACCCTAGCAGAATTTTGTCTCTATCCAGCTTGATTAACCTTTCTGGGAAATGTGTTTCTGGCTGCCAGAATTACAGATGGGGCCTCTGACTAGTAGGTTTTTTTGCCCCTGCCTGTTGCACACATGGGGAGGTGCCACAGTTCACAGCTTCTCTTTGCAGCTCCATGACAGCAACTGCCCACTGAGGCAGGGATGTATGCCACCAATTTTACTTCATCAGTCTCCTGACTTCTCAGCCATTGTCCATAGCACCAGGTGGTGACCTGACTGCATTCAGCTCCAAATCCACAACGTACACACAGACTAATGCCCACCTGCAGTCTTACCCATCGTACCAACACTGGCCCCACTGATAGGCAGCAGTCCATACCCCCTCATCAGAAGGGTTCTGAACGTATACATCCCATGTCCCTGCAGCTGCACTGGTCCAAAGCCACCACACAAATCCTAAAACCTGCCTTCAGGTCCAGAAACATAGTTCATTGCACAGCATTTCCAGGTGACTGGCTTGGGAACCTTGAGTTCCCAGCCCTTGACACCTACCTTTAGCAGCAGGATCCAGACCAAGGGTCAAGGCATCCCTATGAACAACGCTCTCTGGACACAGTCCAATGCATGCAGAAGGACACCCACTCTCTGTCCAGTTCTGTTCCCTGGTAAACTGGCCCAATTCCTTGGCAGAAGAAGCCAAGGGGGTTATAGCTCAGTGAGGCCACTCAGGCTAGAGGGCTGGCAATAAGGCAATAATGGGGAATATAACAGTAGGAGAAAGATGATGAAGTCAGGTGGAGCCAGGTGCTGGCAGGACCAAAGTCCCAAGTCCTTATTGATCCAGGGGAAATCACCCACAAAGGAAATAACTGGTTTCCAGGATGATGTCTCTCCAAAGCAGGAAACACGATCATTCACATTTCAGCCCTAGAGCTTTCAGAAATTCATGGCTAAGAGAATGTATTATCTCACTATGAGCCTTTTGATAAGGAGAAGCTTCTAGTGGGAGAAGGCAGGAAGGTACAGGAAAATGATACATTTATGTCCTGGGGAATGACACCTAAGTAAAACTTAATTTCTAAATATAACAACCTTTCAAATACTGTGTTTATGAAACCCCAAAGAGATATTATTCTAAAGCAGGAGACAGTATCTGGAGAGCAGACTCTCTCCCTCCCTGTCTGTCTGTCTTCAGAAGACACAAGAAATGGTATAGAACAGATCCACGAACTAAGCCTGCCTTCTCATTCAGTGCAGTACACTGTGAGTATGCTTTGGCCTGTATTCTGGTAGTACTTGACATCACAGTGAGAGGGTGTTGGGGATCTTTTGGGGTGATACACAGAACAAAGCAGCTGGTGATGTCAGCAGATGGTTACCTGGCGTGTGGGGGGGAGGATGTTCGAACATACTTGGGAGCTGGGATCCAAGACACAAGTGGGTGATGGGCTGTTTTACCTCTCCTGAATAAAGCAGTAAATGTAGCCACAAGCCAAGCTAAAAGCCAGTTCATTACAGAAAATTCGATTGGGAAGAATTGAGTGAAGTTGTGTGGGTGTCAGTTCAATTCCTGACAAATTGGCTGAGCCTAGAACCTTTCAAATAAGGCAGGCAGCACAGCAGCAGGACTTCTGTGAACTGCCACTTCTTATTCCCATTCTTGGAGATACCAATATTCTTTGGTTAGGTCTTGTGTGGGATTTTCACACCATCCTTCGAAACAGTTGGACCTGGCCACTGGTGGAGCTTAGATTCTGGTTAGTTGGCTTGCTGGATGTTTCTGCCTTCCTGTGTTTGACAGACATGGTGATAGATTTTGATCTGTTTTACTTTCTTCTGCTGACCTTTTCTTTTCTCTCAATGTGGTTTTTGTTTGAGTTGAATTGGCGTCAAAATAAATGGATGCATTTGAAAAGAGTGTTTTTGCTCTGTTGTTTCTTTCACCAGACAGGGCAAAATTAGCAGGAGGTCCTACTTTTCTTGGAAAAGCAGTGTGAAAAAAGCTGGAAGCAAGTCTTTTGGCAAGTGATAATACATAAATAGCTTTTCTGAATACCTATTAAATGCACTGTTGTGTTATTATTATCCAGTGGAGCCAGTAATTGGTTTATTATGATTTTGGACCATTAGTTTGTTTTTAACATGGATGGCTTGGCCATCACATTGAAGTGAACTACGCTTTAATGTTTCTGCCATGTACAAGTGATATAGCTGTATCAGTAATTCCCAGAGTTCAGAAGTTTAATATATTATGAAAAAAATATATTTTCAGTGTTTCTTTTTCATGCTTCATCTTAGTCTAGAGCTGAATGTATAGAAAGGCTCAGCAGAATCTTTTCGTTCATTTCATTACTTACTCAGATGTTGAAAAACTCTGTTATTTGCTTCCAAAAAAATATTATGGAAGATTTAGGGTTGTGGTTTTAAGATACTATGGGAATGACTTGCCTCAGTTGTTATTGTAGAGGGTGTGCTGACTTGAGGAAAAAGGCTTAGGACATCACTTCTACCCTCTAAATCTTCACACAGAAGAGGTCACCCTACATGTAAATCTATCAGTACAGAAGTTGGATATATCTCTGCCACCTGTATCTCCAGGTTAACGAGTTTCTTTGGGAAAAAACTAATTGGGAGGACTAAGGTCCCTGATACCTCTCTGTATAGGTCCCTTACCAGGCTACAGTGGCTGTTCTGTGCTGATGCAACAAAGGGGTCAGGGAAAAGATGGATACCACAAAATCATGGAATCACAGAATGGATGAGTTTGGAACAGACCTCTGGAGGTCATCTGGTCCAACCCCTGCTCAGGCAGGGCTACGTAAAGCAGGCTGCTGTTTCCAAGGTGGGAGACTGCACAGCCTCTCTGGGCAACCTGTGCCAGTCCTCGGTCACCCTCACAGTGAAAAAGTGTTTTCTTATGTTCAGAGAGAGCCTCCTGTGTTTCAGCTGGTGCCCATTGCCTCTGGTCCTGTCACTGGCACCACTGAAAATAGCCCGGCTCCATCTTCTTTGCACCCTCCCTTCAGATATTTGTACATATGGATGAGATCCCCTCTGAGCCTTTACTTCTCTAGGCTAAACAGTCCCAGCTCTCAGCCTGTCATCATAGGAGAGATGTTCCAGACCCTTCATCATTGTGGCCTTTCACTGGACTCACTCCAGTATGCCCATCTCTCCTTTGTACTGGGGAGCCCAGAATTGGACACAGTACTCCAGGTGTGGCCTCACCAGTGCTGAGGGGAAGGATCCCCTCCCCCAACCCGCTGGCAATACTCCTCCTCATGCAGTCCAGGCTACCATTGGCCTTCTTTGCAGTGGGAGCATGTTCTTGGCTCATGTCCAACTTGGTGTCCACCAGGACCCCCAGGTCCTTTTCTGCAAAGCTGCTTTCCAGCCAGTCAGCCCACAGCATGTACTGCTGCCTGGGGTTGTTCCTCCCCATATGCAAGATGTTGCACTTACCTTTGTTGAACTGCATAAGGTTCCTGTCAATCCATTTCTCCCTTTGGATGGCATCATGACCCTCTGGGGTATCAGACACTCCTCCTGATTTTGTATCATCAGCAAACTTGCTGAGGATGCACTCTGCCCCATCATATAGATCATTAATGAAGACATTGAACAGGACTGGCCCCAGTATTGACCCCTGGGGCACATTGCTCGTTACTGGTCTCCACCTAGACTTTGTACCACTGCTCAATACCCTCTGGGCCCAGACATTCAGCCAGTTTTCAGTCTCCTCATCCAGGCCATAATTCATCAGCGTCTCTATGAGGATTTTATGGGGAACAGTGTCAAAAGCCTTACTGAAGTCAAGGTAGACAATATCCCTTGCTCTCCCCTTGTCTACCAAGTCAGTCATTTCATCGTAGATCATCATCAGGTTGGTCAAGCATGACTTCTCCTTAGTGAATCCATGCTGATGTCCTGGTTTCGGCTGGGATAGAGTTAATTTTCTTCCTAGCAGCAGGCATAGTGCTGTGTTTTGGATTTAGTAGGAGAAGAATGTTGATAACACGCTGATGTTTTTAGTTGTTGCTGAGTACTGCTTATGCTAGTCAAGGAATTTTTCAGCTTCCCA